AAAAAAAGAAGGCATTTTTGCTTTTCACTTTTTATGAATTCTGCATTGAAAATGTATATAATGATGTAAATGCCAAGACTGGTCCTGCTGAGACAACTTTGTACTCTGGGTCTTTGAGTTAAAGACAGCGATGGCTGCAGCGTGATCCAAAGCTCCCTGGAGCCTGGGCGAATCTCCCACGGACATTGGTGGGCTTTGGATCAGCTGAACAGAGGCAGACAGGCAGGAGCCCGCCGCAGCCGATCCCACCGCACGGGGCCTCTTGGGCCCCGGAGAAACTGGAGTTCAGGTTTTGCAGGTCCTTGCGCATTATTAATAATGGAAGGACATTTTAGATTGTTCACTGAAAAACTGAAGAACATTTGGGTTGATACACAACAGCCTATAAATAATCACAAGTCATATTTTGTTAATATGGCAACACCACTGATGTATATAATAAGCTTCCAAAGATTGTTTTACACACTGTCGAGTCTTTTTCACTGATGAAGGAATTAATATAGCTCGTTCATTTAAGACAATAAAGTGAGATAATTTTGAATTAAAATTGAGAGCAAACAGAATTGTGAGATTCAGAGATTTGCTAACTGTCCGATATATTAATGGGCAAAGCTGGTGTGGGAAAAAAGAATTCTCCGAGTGTGCTTTGATGGAATGATTTATTATTCCTAAATGCTTGCCGAAAGAACATTGAATGTTTTCCTGTGTTTGAATGTACAGTTTCTAAGCTGGATACATTTTAATGTTTAAAAACTTTGTGTATATCAAGCTTGTTGTAAAATACTCCTTCTGTTCCTATGTTACTGATGCAACATTGGATGGTTTAATTCCACACTAGATATTTTATGTTAAACAAATAAATAGTTTTTTTCAGTAAGAATGCTTTTGGCTGTTCTGTGGGACTTTTCCGAAGAGTCAGTAACTTTACCCCTTTTTTGTCAGAGATTGGAGACACGTGCTGCTGTGGGGACCCAGCTGGGTACGCGAGGGCTCGGCACTTTTCAGATCTCACTCATTTTTTGTGTGTGTTGTGCATTTGGACATAAAGAAGAGCCACAGGATTCACCTTCACATTATAAGTAACCTCATAGATAACTACAGCAAAAAATTTTTAAAATTACCTTAAGATCTTCAGTTGCCTTTTGCATTTCATTCAGTCTGGACAATAAAACCCCGCCAGGTTTGCTGCTTGCCTGTGGGTAATCTCCAGCAGTGCCTTCGGTGCTGCGGTCTGCCGTTGCAGGCGGCAGTGGGGTGTTGGGACGAGGTGGCTGAGCGCATGTCTGGGCTTTGGGGCAGGGAGGCTCCTTCTGTTTATTTACTTTTTCATGCAAACTTCCCTTTTACATACCTTGTTTTTATAAAATGTAATTAAGTGCATAACCCTGACTGTATTCCTCTACCCTCTAATGATACTCTTATTTTGCTGTCCAGTAGTTTACAAACATAAGGTTGTTCATGTCCGACTCAAAATGACAAATGATCTGCAAATACTTTGCGTGCTAACGCAGTGTGTTCTCATCCCTGTGTGCATTAATCTTCCTTCTCGCAGCTTGTGCAGCCCTTGACGATCCACTGGGATGAAGGGTCTGATTTCTGGGGACGGAAACAGTTGGTGACTATGGAAGGGTTTGTATTGCGGAAGCAATACTTGGGAGAATATTCATCCTCTGTTTTCTCTGAACTTTTTGGCATCCTCGGGCATTTCTAAAGCTCATTCTGTTTTCCAAAATGCCAGAGTTGCTGTTTGCTTACAGAGGATAACTTTACTGATACTTGATGTATTTCCAGCTTTGTTCTGTGTCACAGGCAATCGTTGTTGAGGACTGTGAGTTCGTAAAATGTGCTGATGCCGGCCGCTGGAGATGGCGCTTTGTGCTTGTCGAGAAAGCACGTGCAGCAGCTGTCCAGACATCCCGCCGACCCCCTTACCTTTCCCATGCCACAAAAGTGAACTCCAACCTCGTGACTCTTCTGTCCCACGGAGTTCCAACAGTGTAAAATACCTCTCCTGCCTCTCTGGTCTCAAAACAGAGCGATGAGCTGAGCTGCGTGAGTGTCCCAACCATTTCTGTGAGTCCTTCACGGGCTGGGGGCTACTAACAACGACACGCAGGCAACCACGTCATTTCACACGACGGCGTTTCAGGTTCGTTTGTCTACTCGGAATCTGAAATGACGGCTCTTCCTCCTGCAGGATGAAACGTTCAGGAAAAATGTGTGGGGAGACATGGAAAGATGATCTACCGGGTCCGTTTCCAGGGAATTAGCATTTGAGGCCCTGTCCATCATTAAGAAGAGAAAGCATCACGCATGAGATACTTGAATATTACCTTTATTGTGCTCACATATTAAATTGTGGCCTTTTAGAAAATAAGCAAAATAAAATGGCAAATAAAATTGCACTTCTCATGGTTTCTGTTTGTCTTCTAAGAGGCCGTGTAAGATCACAGGACAGCTACTCCCGTACGCTCTAAGATCAGAAGAACAGAAGAATCAACTGCTTATAGCAAGCCATACAGTGATTTGCTACGCCCCTGCTAATCCAGCGTAGCTCTTCTGAGATCGGGTAAGTGGGGTTGGATTTGGAGCCGTGCAAACGGGAGGAGAGTATGGTCCTTAATATCTCTTTTTTGGAATAAGTGAAATCGAGTGGATGCTATTTCACGGAATGGCTTCTACTGAAGCGGTATCACAGACCGGTAGGTTTAGCATTAATCAATGGTAAATTTTTTCCAGCCATTGTTTTCTTTTTTCTATCCTTTTCTTGATTATACCCCTTTGGACTGCAACGTATCAGGTGAGCTGCCAGGTGAAGCGGGAAACCCTTTTGACAGACGGACTGGACGTGACAGTGGCTCCTAATTTTCCTGTGCCCCCCTTTGTTGTTTTTAAGCAGACCGCAGCAGTGCCCCGGCTGCCAGACCACAGCGGGCTCTTTATCGCACGCCCACGCTCGCTGCCTTTGAGGACGGACACTGCCCTGCCTGTGCCGCGGCTCCGCAGCAGCGAACGGAGTTTCCTGTCAGCTCTGCCGCGGTGGCAGCAGGACGGGGCTGGCCTAAGCGACCGTTCCGCAGTCGAGGACAACCGGAAAGCACAAATGACCGCCGCTATCCCAAGGTGGTTTATACTTTGCAAGGATGCGAGGAACACCAGTGTTAGGGCAAAATCGCAGTCAGAGGAACTTCAGCGCCTGCTCTCGTTGGTGCCTTCGACGGCGAGTTCTTGCCTTGGGCTTGAGAATTCCCCTGCGATGTCACTTCGCCAGCACTGCGGGTGTCACAGCAGAGGCAAACGCATCCGTCTCGCGCCTTTACGAAAGGGAAGGGGATGGGCCAGGAGCTGCTGAGAAATTCTGGCCCTTAACGGTGAGAGTAACCATTGCTGCTTTGTAAAAGGGCAGACAATTAGCAGATGCACTCGGCAAAGCTCGTCAGAGCTTTCTGACTGCCCGGGGTGTGTAAGCTGGAGAGGTGCACAGCGGTCACACTGTGTTCAGTGGAAAAGGAGGTCGCTGGAAGGTCTCCCAGGGCCACGGCGGTGCTGGCACGGTCACCTCTGTAGCGCTGCTGAAAATGAGACCAGTCTCATCTGCACCCACAGGGCAGCAGATCTCGTGTGCATGGACCATCTCCAGCAGCACCGAGCGCCCATCGCTGCCCGCAAAACCTTCCCAAATTTCTCTTTTCCTTGGTAAAATGGAAGCAGCGTGTCAGGAAACGGGTCCTCCAGCGGGGAGCAACTCTGGTGCGAGGCTGCGGCCAAGAAATGTGCACTTTTCACGGGACTGCTTTAAATCCAGGCGCCCAGGAGGTAAAACGCGCCCAGCTGCACTGCAGCATCTCTCGGTCGCTAGGTGCAGCTGCCTGGTACAGCACAAACTGGGTTGATGAGGTATTTCTGGCACATGAAGTCAGAGAAGCTGCATCACAGATGAGTAAGAAACAGTTGGCTTATCTGGGGAGGGGAGCGAGCCAGGCGCTGTGCGCTGGGCTCGGCACAACCGCTGGCCTTCGGATTTGAGGCTAATGCTTCTCGAGTACCTTGTCTGTGATGGTTTTTAGAGCAGGAAAGATACATGGCATGGAAAAAACAGCCAAACTATATCTTCAGAAGAGTGCCTTGGGTCCCCAGCCGCGGCACTGAACACCCCCCGAAAAGTCACACCCTCCTGGGAGCTCCTTCGGGAGGCAGAGCCCACCCCGAGCCAGCTCCTCTCTCCCAGCTGCTGCGCACGGCTGGAGGAAATGAGAAACCGAAGGGCCCGTGGGAGTTTTAGGGACGAGAACAGCTATTTTGCGTATGCTCCCTGCTATATATAGAGTCTGGCAAGTACACAGGGCTGGAACATGTTGCTTTTGTTGCTAAAAACATCATTTGGAAAGCCCATTTTAGGCAACTGCTGCTGTCTATTGCCAGATACACTAACCAGGTGCTGCAGACCCGTGCTTTGTCCTGGCATGAACGTAAGAAAAGCTATTGTAACTGAAGCACGTGCTTTTAGAGCCGTCGTTGCTTCCCTGGGAGCTTCAGAGCTTCTTCCTACTAAGGAGCTTTTGCCTCCTGGGGGAAGCTTGCAAATCTAATTACGTGCTGGGTGTCGGAGCAGTCGGTGAAGACCTCAGGTGGCACCGGCTCCGTTTCAGATCCTGTCCCATCACGCAGATGAACTGCAGGACCGTCAAGGTTTCAGCCTCGCCTCGCCTGCCCTTCGCAGACTGATCCCCGGGACAGAAGCGCGCTTTGCCACAGACAATTAGTCCATATTTGAAAGCACTCGCTGGGGGCAGGTTGTGCAAGGCCGGGGTGGAGGGAACTCAGCCGTCTGGCAAATGGCAGCGGCAGAACTGGCAGCTACCTGAAAACGAGACGCTAGGAACCGGCATCGGAGCTGGCGGGAGGGTTGAACGGCCCACGTGTAGCACTGTGTTATTCGCATCGTTCTGCTGTGATTTCTAAGCTACTGCTGTCACGATAATCCTGGGTGAGCGGGCGACTCACAGGCGGGGCTGCGGCGGGCTGGCCAGCTTCTTCTCCTGGAGGATGCTCCCGAAGAGCCTGGCAGCTGCCATGGCACAGCCCCAGTGGATGGTGATCCCGAAACCGCCGTGGCCGTAGTTGTGTATCACCTGGGGGAGGAGAGAAGGGATCAGTGCTGGGAAAGCTGCGCTGGAGCCCGCTGGGACCAAGGGCAGCGAGGAGCCACCGACAGTGGCCGGGAACGTCCTGAGTGTCTTTAGGCTGACCCTTCGATCTGGCAGCTCCGGGTGCACAGCTCAGCGACACGCTGGTCTTTCCCTCCCTCCAAAAGCCCCTGGACA